TTGGGGGAGGACGCAAACCGATTTCTGGAACTTGAGAATAAAACGAGATGAAGGGCAAAGCCAGATGTTCCTCAAGAAGGTCATTTCTGAGCCCATCCTGGGAACTAGATCCAGAGACCTTCATCAGTCCTGCCTCTGTGACCACCAGCTGGCAGTGCCTTCTGGCTGCTGGCTGGAGAGGCGCCTGCCCTTTCTGAAGTCCCTGCCCCTGCCTGTGACTGCCAGCCTGCCTGGGCCAGCTGTGGGTTCTTGCAACTGTTGCAACATTCTTGGTTGTTTCCCTGGCAATGTGACTACCCCGCTCTACCCCGAGCAAGGGAGCCCCCTACCCTGGGGAGAGTTGGCAAGAAGATTTCCTAGATGCCCCTGTGGGTCGGGAGGAGGGAATCCCTCTCTCTCTCTCTCTCTCTCTCTCTCTCTCTCTCTCTCTGTACTGGGATGCTGGTCACCTTGATTAACGAGAACCATGGGTTCCTGGTGTTACTGGACCTATGTTGGCTCTTCATTGTCAATATCTTCTGCTTCCAGGAAATAGGACTTAGTGTTTGAAAGCCACTCATAGTGACGATGTAGCTCAAAGCTGATACCCAAAATGAGAGGGGGGGTGCAGTGCAGGTCAAGCTTCCTGCCCCCCAGTTCCTTTGACCCTCCCGTGAAGATGTGCCCTAGGTTAGTGGAACTGGGCAGATGGCTTGCTTTCCCGGTGCCCAAGTTCCTACCTCGGTGGAGTTTGGGAGATGTTGCCCCGAGGCCTGGGAGGGTCTCCAAAGCCAGACACGGTCTCACCCACACTGAGACGGAACAGGAGGTTCTCAGTCACGAGAGGTAAAGACTAAGAAGCCAAATCGGAATCCCCTTCAGTTAGTTAGGGAGAGCCCCAGCGGGGACCGTGCTCACCCATCCCGTCTCGGTTTGCTCCCTGTGTGGAAGGAATCTCCAAGAAGTTTCCTTCTTTTGCCTTCCAGAAGCAGAATAAAATGGAGATGTTGGAAAGACATCAGGGGCTCCGTCTTTCCTGGGCTCAGACCCATTCTCTTTCCCAAGAGGTCCAGTTTGGGAGAGGTTCCCYAAAATGACAGAAAGCCCCTCTTTGTTTCCCCCCCAACCCAGCCTCCATCTTTTCTTCTGTTGTCTTCTTGCCACAAATATCCAGAAGAGTCCCCCGTGCGCTTGAGTCTCTCTTCTTCCCCCTCCAGCTCAATGGGGCATTTGGTCTGATAATAAAATCACATCCCAAGTCGGACTCCTAATCCACGCCTCCCTCTCCCGTGGCCCAGTCGATCCCGCTGAGACACTGATACAACCCAGAGCAAGGATCGATCAAAGCCCCTCCCCCTCACTCTTCCACCAAGGAATCCGTGTCAAGGACACCCTCCCGCTACCTGTGGCTGATTTGTGTTGGTTTACGAATTTGGGTTTTTTGAGTGTTTCTGTTTTCTGTTTGTTTGGTGGTCTTTGTTTTGCATTGTAAATACCATGATAGGGACCCCTCCTTGGAACATGGCTTATTTAATAATTTATTTGCTATTTATTGAGCGGCGTTGGGATGGGGACAGGAGCGAGGSCACCTCTTCCCAAGAATCCCTCCATCTCTGTGCTCCGGAGACGCCATGGGCCGCCGCAGCGCCACCGTCTCACCCAGGTCACGAGTTGGAGACTCACCGAACAAATTGGAATTGGCAGCAACGGAGGCTCCGGCCATAGCAATTAAGCTCCAAATGGAACTAAGACACCGGTTATCTCCAGGAAAAACCTCATTCCGATGGGAATTCATTGAGGAATCCAATGCCTTCCCCCCTGGGAACCAACTTCTCTTAAACAGTCACAGCTCCTTGAAAACTAAAAGTGGAGAGAATGAAAACGGTCGCCCCTGGTCTGTAGCCAAGAGAAGCTATACTCCGCCTCATCTTGGAAGGAGCCGAGCCAAAGAGACTGGCGTCGCTATTCTCCGTGCTTCTCTCGCCCGTGTGTCTRTGTGCATGGAAGGGAATGGGCCTCGGGCCTCAGTCTTGKCATCTGTAAAATGGGAATTGGCCTGAGCGTTCCTGGCAGGGTGGGGGGAGAGAGGGTTCTGGCTCTGACACGGAGGACAGCTTCCTGTTGGAATTTTTGTCCCTGGGTCTTCTGCCGTCGGTTGAAGGGCGGCGACCAAGGACGGGAACAGAAAGGTGGGGTGTGGATTTCRTCTGCTGGGGGAGGTCACGATAGCTGAGTTCTGGTGCCAACTATGGGAGACGGCGAGGTGTCGTCCCCTTGATAACTCCCGTGACGTGAGTTCCAGTCCTCTGTTGTTACCTTGAACTTCTCTCCAAGCCTAGTGGGCCACAGTCATCCCAGGAGAGACCAAGGTGGTTTGGCCCGGCCCTGCATGTTACCCCCGTTGGTGGTCATCATTCAAGGAAGCCGGTGACGTAGGGCCGAGTACCACTTTTCAGATGAGAAAACTGAGGCCTGGGAAGGGGGAGTGTTGTGCCCAAGCTCCCTGGAGCTCAGATGGGACTGGAGGTGCCCCTCGTCCCCTTGGAAGCTCTTTCTCGGGGKGGGGGGGTGTGCTCTGAGGACTTTTGTCTCACTTCTGTCCCACCCCTTGGTTTTCRTCCAAGTGTCCATTGGCCAAGGACCTAGCAGAACCCACCACCCTGGCCCAGGGGACTCGGTACACCTGAAGGCCACTTTTCTACTCTGGGGCTGGGACTCCCACCTGGAAAACACCGAACCAGAGGAGCCATCCCCAGTCCAGCCMAGCCTGACCAGCAAATGCCCTGAGTGTCCACCTCAGAGGGAAAGACACTGCTGTGTCCTCCAGCGTCCTGGGACCCTGTCCTCTGCCCAGCAACACAGTGGCCACGGCTTGCTTGATTTCTGGTCTCTACAACTAGGCCTACCCTCCCCCGGGTTGCCGGTTTTCAGTCYGTATGGAACATGTCTGTGTTCTAATTAAAGGTCCATGGTATGGTGTTCTCATGTCCGCCCCGTGTCCTTTGTCCCTCGGGGGTGGCCAGAAGCAGGGAGGAGGGAGAGAGACAGGGAGCTAGGGGCTCTTCCACGGCTCCTACTGCCTGTCATTGCATGTGAACCTGCAGATAGACCTAAAAGCACTCGGGTTTTGCATGTACCCRAAGGCATTACCCCCAGAAAGCATCGTGGACACCTTACCTTCGCCTTCCACACCACCCTGTAAGGGAGGCATTAGGATCTCCATGTTTGCTCATCTGTGAAATGGGACGATAGTGACCTTTTTGCGATACTAAGGGAAATAAGTGAGGTCGGAGCTTTTTTAAAACAAATGGCGCTTGGGAAGCATTTAAGGATGTCAGTGAGTGAAGTCACCATTTCCTAACCCTAACCTGAGCGGCAGGAGTGGGTTCCTGTCCACAGCACAAAGTCACCCACCTGGAGCAATAGGGGACCTGGGCATGTCCTCAGCRTAGAATCGAAATGTTTCTTCCTGTCCAAGACAGGAGTCGGAAACACCTGGGGTTCAGGCAGGCCAGGGGAGTGGAGGTGAGGCTATATTGTTGAGGGCAGGTAGGAATCTCAGCTCATGCGGCCCAATTTCCCAATGTTTAAGAGAACCTGAGGTCTTAGGTAAAATCTTTTGAGTTTTGAAATAGCCAGGGCTTGGGCTTGTCTTTTGAAACACTGAATTCCAAGGACACGGGCACGCCCACACGGGGACGATGGTGTGGCCTCACCTCCATCCCCCGGGGGTGGGGGGGGGTTGCTGGGGGGTTGCCCCAACCCCTCATCTACCACATAGCCCCGCCCACACCTGAGCTGGGAGAAAGATGGGACAACACAGGTGACCAACCTCTTTGGGCCAGGCATCCTGCCCCATGGAAATCTGCCTTGCGGACTACTCCGGTGGGACCACTCCCTTGGAATACGCATGGCTGTGCACCCCCCTCCCCCTCCCCCCCCCCCCCCCCCCCCCCCTCCCCCTCCCCCTCCCCCTCCATGCTGACTTCTCTCCAAAAGCCACAACCAGTGACTTCTCCTGACGCCTCGTCAATCAATAACACTAATTAAGAATAAAAAGAACCTCTTAGGGATGGGTTATCAGGTGCCATTTGCAGAAGCAACATCTCATTTCCATAGCCGAGGTCGCCCCATTGGACAGAAGACCAAGTTGAGGCTCACAGAGGCAGGACCCCATGGCGGACCCAAGTCGGCGGCCAGCAAGCCCATTTCTGCTGCACCTCTTTGCCCCTGAGGTGTGCGCACCCCCAACTCAGACCTCACCCTCCATAAGGGCTCCGATCACTTTTTTCCTTCCCAGAGAAGCATAGCAGCCGGGAGGCTGTCCCTGTGGCTGAMGTCAGCTGCCTCTGAGTGACTCACGGAGAGGCCAGTCTCCTGCCCTGGCCCTCACTTACAGGAACCCGAGTGTTTGTTTTTCCAGTGATGGCCTTGGAGAGGTGCCCTGCCCGCTCCCTGTCCCAGCTGTCCTGGCTGCAGAGCGGGGACCTGCTCTGGAGAAGTCTCTCTCCCAGGCCAGACTGGTAGCTGCCCGAGGTCGGCTGGAGGGGMGCCAAGCTGCATCCGACACCCCCACTTTCAGCAGCCGCAGGGGCACCCCACAGAAACCTGCCCAGCAGTGGGAGTGACAGGGTAGGCAGGGGCCAGGGCCCTCCGCTGCTGATTCTCCCCTGCTGCAYGGCGCTAAGCAGATCCAGCCCTCTCTGGGGCCAAGTCACTCCACCTGTTAACAGGGAGGATCTCGATCCTGCCTGTGTGTTCAGGTCACCGGCTGGTTCTGCTAAAGGCTCTCTGGGGCATTCCAAACCGAAGCCAGGCTGGAGAACCCTGAATCAGAGGGTCCTTAAGATGCCAGCAGGGTCCTCTAAGCTGCCATCAATAAAGCCATCGAGAGGACCAGCACCAACATAGGGGCTGTGTCACGATGGGCAAAGGTGCGACTTATGCAGTCGAGGGGCAGAAAATAAAGAATGTCCACGGGCTTCTGCCCTTTTCAATGCTTTATTCACTCAAATCTCTCAATATAGTTTCACTCTTAGGTTTTTAATCAAGAAAGTGACAATCCTTAATGCTGGGCACAGCCATCGACAGAATCCAGCCACAGCAAACATTTCTAGATGAGTTCTAAGCACTGCAAACACACTTAATCATGACAGGCCCGGGACAGACATTCCCTCTGCATGCTGAGCTCAAGGGCCAGATCCAAAGTCTCAAGCCTCAGGCTCCGAGTCCAGCAGATGCCCACTCACTCGGACCCCGGGGGTCAGGTCAGGGACCAGGCAGGCTTCTCCCGGGGTGGAGCTGATGGCCGGCTGAGGAGAGGGTTGTAGGGAGAAGTTGCAGCTCTCACCAGGGTCAAGATGTGGCTGTAGAGTTCAAGAGCAGAGAGAGCAACGCAGAGGATCAGGCAGAGGAGAAGGGTGGGGGGGGGCGTGTCAGTCCAGCTCCAGCCTCAGGGCATCAGTGTGGGCTGGCTGAAAGTCTGGTCATTTGCTCCTCCATTTATACTGGATTCTGGGGCTTCTGACCACCCTTTCAAAATCCCTATCAGCTGCCACYGGTTTCTCAGTGACCTCATTCACCCTGAGGTTAAAGCATCTGGTCTGGGGGTCCCCACCCTGATTTTCTTGCCTCTCCCCCTTATGGGGCAAGGATGTATGACAGAGACGTCACTCTGAGTTTGTCAGGGTGGGAAGAAGTGGCTTATTTATGTCAGGGCTATGCCTGATGGCTGTATTGGAGGGCTCCGTAGGTGTGGCCTGGGGAGACTGCAGGTTTCAAAGCAGAGTTTTAAAATGGAGTTGCTTAGGATCAGGCTGCTACCTGCCAGGCACGCTTCCAAGGGCCTCAAATATTTTTTTTTTCTACCAGGGACTGAACTCAGGGGCACTCAACCACTGAGCCCCATCCCCAGCCCTATTTTGTATTTTATTTAGAGAYAGGGTCTCCCTGAGTTGCTTAGCGCCTTGCTGTTGCTGAGGCTGGCTTTGAACTCGCCATTCTCCTGCCTCACCCCTCACCCCCAGTTGCTGGGATGACAGGCGTGAGAACCACCACACCTGGCCATAGATGCCCTCTCAATGCCCACTGTGCGGATGCAGACAGCAAGGCAGAGACAGGGGTCCTGGGGTGCACGCTGGATGCTAGGATGCGGGTAAGTCCACCGAGCACCCAAAACAGCTGAGGAGGGTCAAGAAAGGTGTCATAGAAAAACCTGACCTCTAGGCTGACCCTGGGCCCTGGGGAGGAGCTGGCCAAGGAAGGGAAGGGGCTTAGGAAAGAGGAGGGAGGGAGCGCTTCTCAGAGGGCCCCACCCCCACAGGCACCCTCCCCACCGGCCCTGGGTGTTCCTTCTGTGATAGGTTTGTTTACTTGTTTAGTGCCATCTCCAGGACAGGGCCTTCTTGGCCTCATTCGTCCCTACCGCTCAGCAGAGAGCGCTGGCATCCAGCTGGTTGTCAAATGACTGCATCTGCCCAGGACTGCCAGCTCGGCTTCCTTCTACCACTCATTCATTGTTGAGCCGGTTCATTATTTATTTATTTATTTATTTGAGGAGTGGGGGAACCAACTCCGGAATTAGAAAGTGCCGTTATTTTTTAAAAAGAGTAACCAAACCCAAGGATTTGGGGGATCAGAAAGACCCRGAGGTGAGCCTGACTCTGCTACTGCCTGGCTGTGTGTCTATGTGTCAGTGACTCAGCCTCTCTGAGCTTCAAGTTCCTTACTTTCCAACAGAGGCAATAAAAGCATCCATCTTGTAAGATTGCCGTGAAGATGAGTGAAGGGAGGCAGGTGGCTCTGTTGGCTGGGTGAGCTCATGGTGAGTTTCTAGGAGGATTCCAGGTCACCTTGGCAAAAGGTCCAACAGTGGGTCCTGCCGTCATTCACCACCTGGAACACCCCATTCTCAAGTGAGGGCCACTCCTGCCTCCCCCTCCAGAGTTTCACCCACTCAGAGGAGTCCAGAGCCACCAGGAAACTTGGCCGGCTCCCCCTGACATGTCGATCGTCAGTGGAGAGACCAGGGGTGCTGGTCATCCCTGTCCACCCAGGTGGGGTCCACTCCCCACCCGGAACGTGGGCCCTGACCCGCTCTGTCGCTGCAGCCAACCTACAGCCAGGTGACGCAGGGCAGTTTTTCCTTCGCCATGGAAACGGGTCAGGTGCTTTCTCAGGGTGTCACGCAGGGTCCCTTTGACAAGTGACTCTCAGATCTAAACCCCAAATAAACAACCCCAAGCACATCAGATAGAGGCGCAGTGTCAAATGGAAACGGGGTTTGAAATAGGTACACACACACACACACACACACACACACACACACACACACACATGCATACACTCCCCGGCTCGAGCTTCATAGGGTCAGTGAATTGTTTGAAATCCCACAGTTTTGCAGGGGATAATATCAGCATTTGGGACAGAGGAGTACAGATTCCTCATCAGTTTTCCAAAGGAATTTAACTTAAACCTTTAGGAAATTTAAGTCGATCTGTCCTTGCTGTTTTAGGATATTGCAGAGTTTTTTTTTAAGTTCCCTCCTGGTATCCATTGCCCTTTCAGCCATGCTAATAAATTCCCCATTTTTCAACTAGGTTCCTAGCCACCCAGAATAAAGACTACATTTCCCAGCATTCTCTGCAGCCAGCTCTGGCCATGTGACTCATTTTAGCCAATGAGAATTTGGACCTGCTAACTCCCACAGAGTTCTATAAAAGAGAGTGATCTTGTGGTCTTCATTCCTTGCTACTCTTTTGCTGGCTGGAATGCAGATGAGATGGCTGGAGCTCAAGTGACTCCCTAGTTCACTAGGTGGCACTGCAAATGGAGCTCATATAATATAGGTAGAGTGTTAGGCTGGTTCTACAGGGCTTTGTGGGGCAGGGGCATCAGACCTACAGTGGATACAATATCTCTGGACTTCAACATTAGGGATAAATAAACTTCACTTCCCTTGTGGCTACTTAACCTCGTTGTTCACAGCTGAGGCTAATTCTAACTCATATTCAAGGTGACATGAAGACAGTCCTTAAAATGAGCTATCTTGTAACTCCTCTCCATCTCTACGCATCCTCCCCAGCTCCTCCTCTTGCCAAACCAGTTCCTGCTTCGTCCTTAATAGAATCCAAGAGAGAGGCCCTCAAGGTCGTAGACCTCCCAGCTCCCCCCTCCCAAAGAACTCTCAACCTCCCTCCGCATAAGGGGCCCTGGTGGCAGGTGTTATGAATGTCCCAAGCTGAGAAGAGCACAGACTACTCTCCCAGTCAGGCTTTTGGCAGCCAAGGAGACGAATGCTTTACCCTCAGAGTGACACTAGCACTGAAAGTCTTTTCCACAAAGCGATGCCAAGGAGACACAATTAGGAAGAATCAGTTAGGTTGTGCTTCAGTAACAAAGAAGTCCAAAATCACAATGTTCTAAAACAACAAAGGTTTCTCTCTCGTTGGCGTCCATTGTGAGCAGCAGGGTAATCAGCATGTGGGTAACTAAGATGCTAGTCATCCTGGTGCAGAGGGAAAGACAAATCCCCCACAGGGTTCAGGCTGGGTGAATCCAGGGGTTTCCCTAGACCTATTAATGCTTTGAACTGGGAGTGACAACTTATTGGTCCCTCACTACAAGGCTTCTCCCAGCCACRGTGGCCTCAGGAAGTGTAGTGCTAYCCCTACTTGTGTCCAGAGAGTGGAGGAAGGAGAAAGCGGAAATGTTTGGCAAACAACACTGATTTAAAAAAAAAATCCATAAAAATCCACAAACTATATGTCAGGTACTGTACTAGGTCCAGGTGGCACAGCCTCCAGCCATCCCCCAAGACTCCACCCTCCACCCTCAGGCAGCGTCCCGGCCAACAAAGGGGAAGACACAGAAAATGAGAGGTGAGAAGGACCCTCAGCCAGGGGCCGGAGCAACGAGGAACTTCAGCTAGCAGAAGGCGAGAAGCCGGGGACAGGCAGGGAACCCRCGTCCTTCAGGAAACCCTCGGGACCTGGAATCACTCCCCTGTGACCTTGACTGTCACAGACTCGGGGAAGCAAGGCCTGTGGCTTCCTGCTCTTCATCTCTGGCCTCTCGGTGTGCGTTGGGCGAGACCCCAGAGGACGTGCAGAGGCTGAAGGCAGAACACACCAGCCCCTGCTCTTCTCCCGTCCAACTGCCCCGTCCGCACACTCTGCTTCTGTAGGTCCCCAGGTCCACAGTCCCATAGGTGGCCCTTTCACCTGGACCTGGGGAAACACCTCCCGGCTGGCTTCCCCGGAGCCTGGCCCCACTGTACTCTCACCATGAGTGCCAGCGAGCTCCCTTGCATTGTGTCTTCATGGTGCACCTGTCCTTCCCCAAAGAGCACAGTGGGCCTCCAGTGTGCCCAGGGCAAATCTCTCTGCTGACGGACCCAACAGGCCCTCCGTGGTCTGGCCATGTCCCCCTCACTATCTGTGCTAGCAGTTACTTGGGGACATAGGTTCCGTKTTAGGAGGTTTCCGTTGCTATGACAAAATGCCTGATGGAAATAAGGAAGAAAGGTTGATGTGGCTCATGGCCTCAGAAGTTTCAGTCTGTGGTTGTTTGCCCTCTCCTTGCCCCACAGCCCAGTCGCCTTTGGGCCTAAGATGGGTGAGACATCATGGTGGGGAGCACCTAGCTGAGGAAGTTGTCATATCATGGCAGCCAAGAGAGAGTCAAGAAGGAGCCAGTGACCTGCATTCCTTCCAGTAGGCCCTGCCTCCCCAAGTCTCCACCATCTCCCAACAGTGCCACAGACAGGGACCAACCCTTAACATGGAGGCCTTCAGGGGAAGAATCAGTTAGGTTGTGCTTCAGTAACAAAGAAGTCCAAAATCACAATGTTCTAAAACAACAAAGGGGTATTATAACCATATCTGCTTTGCAAAGGACATGACAGACGTTCAGAGAGGTGAAGTCACTCTCCCAGAGCAGCACAGTAAACAGGACTCAAACCCAGATGTGTTCGGGTTCCTAGCCTCCAGGGTTCACTGTCTTTCCTAAGCACTAAATGCCCACACTATCACGTTCCCAACTCTGGTCCCTGGAAGCCGAGATGAAGGGGGTGTCAGGAGAGCTGCTCAGGAACAAGGAGCAGAGCCCGCGAAAGCCCTGGGCGGTGGCAGCCATCCTTGGTGACGGGAGGGTAGGGTGATCCTCTCCCCCACAGCTGAGCCCCAGCCCCTTGTCCTCGGGTGCCCACAGGAGAGAAGAGCTCCCCAGAGCCTGCCGAGTGCCCACCCCAGCTAGGACAGGGACATGGCTCATCCCAGGCAGCCCCGGAGGTCAATGTGCTCCTGGTGTCGTTAGTTCTACTGAGAAAGTCTGGCAGAAGGTTCTAGAAAAGGAGGCCCAGTGAGAGGGTGGGGGAGGAGGTGGGCTGGTTAGGTCCCAAACACTGGAGGGTCACGGTGCTATTCAAGGAACCTAGAGTGGTTAARCTGTGTGACGCAGGGTAAGTTGTTTAACCTCTCTGATCCTTGCTCTTGTCATCTCTAAATGGGGATAATAACATCTACCTTGGAGCCATCTGGGTGAGGATTAAGTGACTTTGATACCTGTCGGGAACTGAGGGGCTCAAGCGGCAGGAACGTGAAGTGAAGGACATAATTCTATACACTGGGCCCACTGCACTGAACCCGACCTGCTTTCTTTTCTACAAAGCGACTTCCCTGTAGCCCTGCCTGGCTTAAGCCCACAGGACACGGTCCATCCCTCAGCCACCAACCTGCCATCGGCAGGGGACCATRTAGCCCAAAGGCCAATAAGAAGAACCCAGGCTACCTTGAAGGAGGGGACTTTGTGACCCTGACACAGACCAGACCCCAGAACCCGGGGGGCGGGGGTAAGGATCATCCCCACCCACCTGAAGATCTGCAGGGACAGGTTCTAATTCGACCCGGTCATGACGGGCCGAAGGGACCTAGAAGTGTCACGGCAGAGGGGACTTGATGGATGTTATCCTGCTGTCCGTCAAAAGTCAAGAGATGGACCTGGGCAGGGCTTTCTAGAAACTTCTCTGGGATTCCCCCAATAGAACTGGAGTGCGGGGGGGGGGGGGGCACGCTGTCCCTGTCCTCTCTGAGGGGACCCACCCTTTCCCTTGACAGGGTCCCCTTTCCCCTTTTCTATCCCTTCAATAAACTCGAGCCTGTTCCTGGGAGCCATGGGCCTCAAGTCCTTCTGACTTGATACAAGACTCAGGGTTTGGGGTGGGGGGGGTCTTCACGCTGCCTCGGTGACCCGCAGGCCCGGCCCTGTGACACAGGCTGAGCCATGGCGACACGGCTGCTCTTTGATGGTTATGTGCAGAGGGGCTCAGGAGCCCAGGTCCTGGGAAGGAACGTTGGAGACAATAGTAGGAGGAAGTTAGGCCTCCATGACCCAGCCCGGCCTTGAGAGGACGCGGGCATGGGCTGGTCCCCAAGGGGACTGCGGGTGTTTATTTTATTCTGTTTGTTTACTCAGCCCGGGCTGGAAACTCAGGCAGATCAGGGTCCAGAGGCCGCCAACCRGGAAGAGGCCAGACTGCGGAGCCCCCAGGACTGTCTGCCCCCCACAGTCGAGTTCATTGTCCAGCGGGGGGGGGGGGCTGTGGGGCCCAGATTCTGCCGCTCACAAGACACTGTCCACTCAGCCAGGGTCTGCGGCTCCTGTAGTGTCCCAGGCCATGGGGATGATGCCACCCTGAACAGGACACCAAGGGCCCCGCCCTGGAGAGCAGGAGATTCCTGTAGTGTGGTAACTCGGGGTCCCCCTGAACCCTGGAGGGTTCTTGTCTCAGGCACCAGGAGAATGGGGTCCGCAGGCGGCAGAGGGTGAGGACACAGGAGCTGGTTCATCAGAAGCCAGAGAGGAGGACACACAGCATGGGAAGGGCCCAGAGAGGGTGCTCAGGAGGCCGAGGCAGGAGGATCTCGAGTTCCAAGCCAGCCTCAGCAACAGCGAGGCCCTGAGCAACTCAGTGAAAAATAGGGCTGGGGGTGTGGCCCAGTGGTGGAGTGAGTGCCCCTGTACAGAGGGGCTGGGGCTGGAATTCCCCCAGGGGACAAGAGGAAATGTCCACTCTTCCTGCAGGACCGGAGAGAAGCCTGCTGGCTTGCTTTTTAGGCAACTGACAGGCCCCTTTCTTGGCCGGCCCCTCCTTCCCTGCCTACCTGTGTGGCTTCTGCTGCTGCTTCTGCCTGCAGGCCGGGCCAGAGCCCTAGTTTCAGGAATGCAGGGTGATGTCACCTCCCCCAGGCTGTCTGCCTTGAGGATTGTTGTGGCTATTTCCGTCCCCTTTCCTTTTCCCAGAGCATCTGCCTGGAGGCCCCCTCCCCAGAGCCTGCCCCTGTTCTCACCTGACCACTCTCCACATCTGTTCGCTGACTGGTCACCAGGTGGCCGGGCGAGCAGGACTAGCAGCTGCCTCTGTCCTCAGTGTCCCCAGACAGAAAGCTGGCCTGACCCGGATACACAAGGAGGAGACTTGAGACAGTGCCCCGAGCCACAGGCAGGGGCTGTGCGACCTCACCCCATCCTAGTTACCACTGTCAACTCCCAAGTCCCATTGGCTGTGTGGCCCCCGGACAAGCGGCTTCAGCTCTCTGAACCACAAGGCTGCAAGGAGGTCAGGAACAAAACCGGTTGCTCCTAAGGTATACAGGCAGTGCTCCATAAATGTGAGCCATGACTGGTTGCAGGAGTTGAGCAGCCAGGAGCGACCCAGGGTTGGATCCCAGCTCTGCCCCTCAGCCAGATCCATGGACGTAACCAAGTCACGTATCGCTGAGCCTCAGTTTCCTCATCTGTGAAACGGGGATAATAAAGTGGCCTCCTCCCAGGGCTGTGGGGACAGGAGAGGAGCCAAGACACCYACTGAAAGTGCCTACCAGAGAAGCCAGCGCTGGCAAGGGCCCCGCAGCTGCTAAGGGACGCGGTTTCTAACTCCCAGGGGCACGGTGGGTAGCACTGCGCCCTTCTCCCCTGGGAAGGTGGCTGAAGCCCGGGACACTCAGTTCTCCTTCCCAGCGCCCTGGCTCCAGAGGAGTCTCCTTCCATGCACAGGGGTCTTCTGGAAGTTGGGGGGGGGGGCGGGGGGGGGGGGGGGGGGGGGGGGGGGGGGGGGGGGGGGGGGGGGAGGAGAGGAGGACCTTCCAGAACACGCCCCTGCCCAACGCCCACAAATGCGGGCTCCCGCCCACTCCGCCACCCGCCCCAGCCCCCATTTCTGGCCTGCGATCTGCCCCGGATTCTCCCCATAACTGGCTTCAAACCCAGCCGCCCCGCCCAGCTGTAATTACAGAGAGAGCCCAGGAGGAGTCTGTGCCCAGCCCTGACGTCAGCCAGAAGCTTCTAGCCGGATGAGCTCACCCCACAGGGAGCAGCAGTGGTCCCACTCGGGAGATGTCACGCCCCTGGGGTCTCTTCCTGATGCAGAAAAAAAAAAAAAAGCCAGAGGGTCTCAGTGGGCCCCCTCACCGCAGATCCAGGCTGCCCGCTGCATACCTGCTTGGTGGGTGGGGAGGTCCAGGCTCACCTGTTCCCCACCTGCAAAACGCGGGGGGGGGGGTGCCCACAGCAAAGACATCGTGGTGAGGTTGTGTGCAGCGTCTYGGGGGCCCACGGCAGTGCCACACGAGGCAATCAACGGTGGTGACTGCTGTCACTGTGTATTATTATTTTTAGCAGAGTGCTTCATCCCAGCGCTGCTTCATATCAAAATAATGGCTCAACCTATGACTCACGGGCTCCTGGGCACCCCCACCCCACCGGCTCTGGTGGAGAAGGCAGAGCGAGACCCTGAGGCCCTCAGGGGAGGAAATGGCAGGTCCAGAGTCGCCTACCCCTCCGGGACAGACAGGTCGAAGATGGGAGGATTCATCAGTCCCCTCTTTTGGGAACAGCAGGGAGCTCTAGAAAACAGGCCTGTGTCCCAACAGGAGGTCCTCCTGGGGAGGGTACTGATTAAATCAGGATGTGGGGCTAGGGCTCCTGAACACTTCCCGTGGCCRTTTCCTCCTCTGTGGAATGGGATGGCAGAACCCTGGCTTTACAGGCTTGTGGGGGCGGATCAATGGGTTCATGTTTGTCAAGGCCTGGAGCAGAGCCCAGCACGGAGCCAGTCACTGATCCTTCAGAGTTGAAAACATAAAAGCACTGTCCGATCCCTCTGCTAAGCACCGCCTGAGAATGTCCCCTGTATCCTGATGACCCGCCCAGGAGGAGGCAGCCACTAAGTCCCTGTCACAGGAAATAATGGGAATGTCACAGCTGAAGGAGATTTTTTTTTTCTTTTGGCTTAACCAAACGTGACCTGCCTGAGGCCCCGGGTGCATTTTCTTGTGAACCCTAGGCTTCACCAGGGTCCCAGGAAGTCAGGGTAGCAACCATCCCCAGCCCTGGGGATCTGGTCCACCTCCAGACCTGCTCCCACCCCGCAGCCCACATCCCCCTCCAGGGGAGGCCCGACGACCCAGAATCCTGTTGGGTTGGTCTAGCCGGAATCCCCTCTGACCCCCTGCTTTTCTTCTTAGTCATTTCCACCCACTGACCCTCATTCTTGGCTATTCATTCCCCGTGGCAGGTGCCATATTGGGAGTGGAGCCCAAGCCTCCTCCCCCAGCAAAACCCCAGTTCTCCTGTGACCACACCTGCCACAGCCACCCTGCCACCCTGCCGCCCTGCCCCCGCCCAAAGTCTCCCTGGCCCTGATTGAACGCGTGTCGTTTGAATATATGACACTTTTCCGTGGTTCTGTTCTTTTCTATTTTTTCATCCCTCTCGGGGAACACGGAGGCCCTCAGACTTTGGCCAGGCTGTCAGTGGGGACTCCAATCTAGGGCCATCTGCGTGTCCGAATCCCCTGGCCTCCTGCCTGCTCTTCCCCTTCTGCAGGTCCCCAGGGGGTAGACAGGATGCGACATGCTCACAGGAAGGTATTTGCAGAGGGTGACCTGAGCCCTCAGCCAGGCAAGGGTTATTAATAGCCAGGCCTTGTGGAGTGGCGGGCAGGGGAGGTGGCTCTGGGACGGGGAGGGGGCGGGGCCGAGCCGGCGGAGGGGGCGGGGCTAGTGGACGCAGAGGCTGACCGGGCCGGCCCCGCCCCGCCCCCTGTCGCCGGTTCCCTCAGCAGATTCTCCGGGGCTGGTTCATCACCTTTGAATACCCTGGTGACAGGAGGCGCTTGCAAAACCCGCCTCCAGGTCCCCCCCCGCCCCCCAGCAGCAAATAAATAGAGGGCTCCGAGCCCTGGAGAAGCCAGGAGAAGTTTCTAGGCGCGTGTCCCCGAGGTTTATTAAGCTTCTGGCTTCACTCTAGACCTCAGCAGCCCTGGCTGGGAGCCTGGACAGCTCGGCAGGACAGTGTCTGGCTCCCTGGTCTCTGAAACCGTGCAGAGAAAGGTCCTCCTCGGAGATTCTGCCGCACGTGTTGGGGGGTCGCCTTTAGAGGGGACCCCAGCCTGGTGAGCACGGCCACTCTGGGCCGTGGTTGGCTCTGCTGCTCCCTGACGGAGGATCCACTGGACTCCTGCCTCCCAAGGCTGAAGAACAAGCTCTGAAAGCCATCTCACTCGCGCCTGGGCCGTGCTGTGTGACCTAGGGTCGGTGGCTGCCTCTCTCTGAGCCTCCCTTTCCTCTCCGAGCTCAGCAGTCACCATGGCTGACGGTCAGATGCCGTTCTCCTGCCACTACCCSAGCCGCCTGCGCCGAGACCCCTTCCGGGACTCGCCCCTCTCCTCGCGCCTGCTGGACGATGGCTTTGGCATGGACCCCTTCCCAGACGACTTGACCGCTTCCTGGCCCGACTGGGCTCTGCCGCGCCTCTCCTCTGCCTGGCCGGGGACCCTGAGGTCGGGCATGGTGCCCCGAGGGCCCACGGCCGCGGCCAGGTTTGGGGTACCCGCCGAGGGCAGGGGCCCCCCACCCTTCCCCGGGGAGCCCTGGAAAGTTTGCGTCAATGTGCACAGCTTCAAGCCCGAGGAGTTGACGGTGAAGACCAAGGATGGGTACGTGGAGGTGTCAGGTGAGTGAGGGGACCAGCCYGGAGGGGAGGGCCGGGCGGAGGCTGGCTAGGGGACAGTCAGTGACATCTTGACACAGGTGACTTCAGGGCTGGAGAATGCAGCCCCAGATGCTATCTGCCTGGAAAAGCTCTCTCCCAGGGCCCAGGGGCAGACGGAACCGGACCTGGCCCCGGGGCCTCTGGGTGCCTGTCAATCTGAGCACAGGCAGGAGAGCAGGGCAGGGCAGACACCATGTAACCTAAAGAGCAGGTTCAACAGAATAAAGAAGAACGGGCACAAGATGCCCCAGCATGCCACCCAGGGCCGAGAAGGAGCATTTTAATGCCAAGTACAAAAATATTGATGCCCAGCCTGGGTTTCCAGGGAGTCACCTCCCCTGCTCCCAGAGAAGGAAACTGGGTTCAGCAGGCCTCAGGGTGACGCTGGCTGGTGAGCCCCACGGAGCGGGCGCAGGCTGAGCACCTGCTGGACCAGCCACCTCTCCACCTGCACAAGGATCTGGGCTGGAAATATTCTGATCTTTCTTTCCCCCAAAGACCCCTCCCTCCAGCCCAGGGGCAGCAGGAGCCGGGTGTCCATCCCATTTTGCAGCTGGGGTGTCTGAGGCCCAGGCGGGCCCTGTTCAAGGTCGCGCCATGAGTCAGCAGTGGAGCCTGGGCCTGTCCCYGATGCTGGGCCCAGGGCTTTGGCTGGCACCTCCCCAGCCTGGGAGTGGGGATGGGCTGGGGGCCGGAGGCAGGAGGAGCCGGTAAGGGCTCGGCCCCTGTTCATGCTCCATTTAAAAAAAGAGCCAGTTCCCGGCAGAGGCCCCTCAGCCAAAAAAATCAATAAAAGCCATCACGAGCAGCAGCCGGGCAGGGACAAGCCCTGGCAGAGCTCAGGGGCAGATCCAAAGCTGCTCCAGGCAGAATTATAAACAACCAGGCTGCTKCGGAGGCCCGGGGTGTGGTGGGCCCCAGCCACGTGCTGCTGGCGGGGTGGGTTGGGATCGGCGGGGCTCCCTGGGCTGGGGGCTCTGGGAGACTGGCTGTGGCCCCGATCCTGTGCAGGACGTGCAGATAACTTCACTTCTTGGCTCTCTCTCTCCTTATCTGGAAATCTGTGTTCAAATGGCTGAGGATGGCCATGAGGCTACCGTGTGCCCCTACCTGGCGCCTGGAACGCAGGTAGCCCCTTGGCTGTGACGACACTGGGGTGGAACAATGGCGTGTGGGGTGYGTGGCAAGGTCCCGAGAAACAGGGAAGGATAGGTGGCATTTGAGACCCGGATTCCACTCCCGGTTCATTGACGGGATGGATGGGGGCTGCGGAGTCCTCCCCACTCTGAGCCTCAGTTTYCCCAGCTGGGGACCGGGATCCTAGTTATCGGGGCCCCACGAGGCTACAGGACGATTTAGTGTATGTGCAAAACACAGGATGGCAGATGCGCGTCTACAAACTGGAGCTAATAATAGTGCTGGGTGCGGACACTCTTCTCGCCCCTCCCGCTGGTTTTAATTACATTTCATTCTGGGAGCTTCTGTCCCTACCACACCTGGAGGGGGCGTGGGAGAGGAGGAGCCCATTACTTAACTTTTTTGTAGGGTTTTTCCTTCATCCTCCTTTGAAGGTGCTTTTCAGCAGGCGGGGTCTGACAGACCCAGGCCGAGACCCCAGCTCACAAYCAGACTCATTTAGGGTCCTTAAGGGCATCTGGAGGGCTCAATTCCTCCATCTATAAAATGGGTCCACTGGATGTRCAATGAGTGACCTGAGCTAGACTAATCCCCTGAGAGCACAGGCCAGATCTTTCATAAAGAGGTTTTAAAAGTAGGATTGATAATGAGGGGCTCAAAGTAAAAGCCAATTTCAGCCCTGCACGGTGGATCTCGCCTGTAATCCCAGCCACTGGGGAGGCTGAGGCAGGAGGATTGGGCAAGTTGGAGGCTAGCCTCAACAAACTTAGACCCTGTCTAGAAATACAATTTCAGAAAAGGGCTGAAATTTTCAGCTCAGGGGTAGAGCACTCTTGGCTTGAATCTCCAGCTGTACTGGGCCCTCTGCTCACCGTCCACCCAGGGCTTTCCAAGAGTGTGGGTAACTGTGTTCACATCTCCCCACCTCCATTTTACAGATAAGGAGACCGAGGCCCAGAGAAACCAATTCACCTGCTTCTCTGTTGGTGTGTGAGATTCAGAGCCAGGGTCACGGCGGCCACATCTGCTGTTGGCCCTGCGGTCCTGACCCGACCCCACCTGTTGGCCTGTTTCTGAGTCTTTTTCTTTATCACTTCCAGGCCCCCAGGGYCCCAGCCTTACCGTTGGTCTCATAAAGAGATGGACTAAGGATTTGCATCAGGTGTCCACAGCCATCTGAGAGAGGGGCGTGGGGGAGCTCAGAGTCTTGAGGAACCCAGGCCGCAGACAGGGCTGTGCGCTGCAGGACTTACCAGGGGCTTGATCAACCAAGTTGGAATCTGGGAGAGGCAGCGGCCTCTTACCTAACCGTGTCTGGATGTCTTGTTCCAGGGCAGCGCTCGGTCAGTGTTGGACGAGCTCATTTCTATCACGTCTCGCTGCCCTCCCCATCCTACGGCCGCCCGCCAAGAAATGTTCCCTTCAGGGGCCACTGAGCCAGGCGCTGGCTGAGGAAGGAGCTGGGCAGCCCTAGGCCCTTACCGCCCRCCCTGTCCTAATCCCGGGGCTCGGCCACCCTGGACACGGCACCTCCTTTCTCGAGCAGAGCMGGTCACAGTCCCCCAAGGGCTGTGCCTGCTCCTGGCACTGACATCTCTCTGAGCTACACAGAGAAAGTGGCAGCTGTCCCTAGCTGTCCCCCAGAGGAGCTCAATCTTTACAGACCGTCGTCCTCACTTTATCTGTGGTAGAACGTGTAGATTGGAGTATGCTAATGATATGCAAATGAAGCTTCATGCCCATCCCCCYTTGACTTGACTCTCCCCCTCCTGGGGCTCCCCTTCGGCTCTCAGGCACCCCCTCCTGGAAATTTCCAGAGCATAGACAGACACCTTCAGCCTCAGAGGAGCCGACCTTTACCCAAACATCAAAGCCACAGGCTCACCTCCACACCCATTCTACAACTTACAAAATGACTCTGACTCACTGTCACTGTTCCTCATCCTAACCCAGCCAGGTAGCAGGTGTCGCTCCCATTTCGGAGAATAAACGGAGGCTCAGAGAAGGGTAGAGATGTGCTAGGAAACAGAACAGGAATTCCCATCCGGAACCCCAATTCACATCTCAAACCTATTTGCCTGTTTCTGAGGGTCTTCGTTCCATCCCTTTCAGGCTGTGTGACCTTGGGCAGGTCACTTACCCTCTCTGAACTTCAGATTTCCCATCCACACCATGGTAGTCATAAAAGCACCTGCTTTCTAAYCTTGTGGCAAAAGTTAAAGGAATCGACGTAGGTAAGGGGCTAACAGCAGTGACTGACACCAATACCATTCAGTGGCTCTGACTTAGATGGGATTAGGTTCCCATAAACCCATTACAGATGGAACCTATCACAGGTCCAGACCGCATTGAATACACCTGATCTGCTGAACACGGTCACGGAGCCAAGCCCACCTTAAACATGCCTAGAATTAACGTTACAATTTGGTAAAATCATCCGAACACAAAGCCCCTTTATAATAAGTCAGTGAACCGCTCAGAGAATTTGCTGAGTGCCCACTTGCAAACCCTGAACCAGCTCAACGTCGAAAAATAGTAAGTGGAATGATTCTGAGTCAGGGAAGGCCCCGTTAGGCTCGCCATCGTCATCGGTACCCCCCCCCAACATCACCCTCTCCTCATTCTCTGGGCCCAGCAGAGACGGGGGGCGGGGGGTCCCAGGGTACAAAAGGGCTGAGTCAGAGGCACTGGCCGGTCCCCAGGGGAAGCAGCTCCAGAGGCCCAGGCTTTGGGGAGGGGACCAGAGAACAGACAGTGTTCTTCTGGCCCCGGGCCCATGCTAGAGCCGGGCGGTTGGTGGTTACAGTGTTGGCAACAGAGAGTAAACTCTCGAGTGACGGCACATTCCCCGCAGAGCCCGTTCTGCCGGCCAGATCCTTGGTTCAGAAGAGAATCCCTGTCAAAGCACCACTTCTTCCTCACGGTGGGAGAGCAAGTGGGTGCAGGGCTTCCTGAGGGCAAAGGAGCCACATGGAACTAGCCTCAGACATTCTAAAACGTGGGCCAGTGCGATGGTGCGACTTCAGGGGCTCGGGAGGCTGAGGCAGGAGGATCGCAGGCTCGAAGCAACTCAGCGAGGCCCTGTTTCTAAACAAAATATAAAAAAGGGGCTGGGAAGGTGGCTCAGGGGTTAAGCACCCCTGGGTTTAATCTCCAGGACCCAAAAAAGAAAGAAAGAAAGTCTGAAGCATAGAGAGTCTATCCTAAAGAAGCCAYGGGACCCAGGACGAGGATCTAGCTTCAGTATTGAGTGCAGCGGGGTTTGTTCCAATGTCAGGAACCTTCTCCGTGTCCAAAAGTGGGGAGCTAAGTGAGCTGTCCTGTATCTCTGCAGTGGGACACTGTACAGCTACTAGAAGTCACGTCGTCCAAGAATATTGGGTACTATGGAAAAAAAAAAACAATAGAGCGTGTTAGCCACACAGAAAACACAGGCTGCAAGCATAGCGCACAGAGCGATCCCCATTTAATAAAATATATGGCTCCTGTCTCTACCAAATAACATTTGTGCATCTCTAAGCAACATAAAGAAATATCTGGAACCTATAAAGATGGAACTAGGGGTGGTCTTGATTTTTTTTTTCCTTTTTTTTTTAACCTTTTATCACACGGATATGCATTATGTATGTATGTAATCAGAAAAGGGTCCCTAAAGGAATGATTAACAATAAAAAGGGAAGGTGATCACCTATAAATTGTCCGTTTAAAAAAAAATCCAGACAGCACATCCTATAAGATTATTAATAGTCTGGATTCCAGAGCCCTGGGCTGGTCCCTGGGGAGGTGAGGTTCTGGACTGTGGYCCCACAGAAAGCGCCCCGTGCACCTGTTCATCTAAAAGGAAACCCCACCCCCTGCACTCCAGAGAAGGAGGAAGAGGAGGGCCCGGGGGATCCGGATTGGCTACACAGAATCGCAAGAGAAAAGCCACTTTGGGTCCCAGACTCCTTCTCTAAGGAGAGGCCGGGAGTGTTCTGCAGGTCAATGCATTGTTCTAGAATGTTCTCTCACTACTAGGTACAGATAATGTGGCTCTAAAAGAGCTAACCGGGAACTGGAACAGGCAGAAATCCGAGGGCAGAAGGGCAAAGGGCTCCGGATTCAGAGAAGCTGACTCAMAGCCCAGAGCGGCCAGGGACCTGCTGGGTGACCCCCCGGGCCTGACCGGGGCCTCTGTGTGCACCTGGACCACAGGGGAGCAGGCGGCCTGACCTCAGAGCCTGGAAGGGGCTGACGCAAGCTGGATAGAAAGGGTCCCTCCCCAGGTGGCTGCCCTTCGCTGTCCCCCCAGCCTGGGCTGTGAGCCCTGGGGTCCCKCGGCCTGGCCAGCGGGCAGGAGTCAGGGAAGAGAAATGGAGGATCTGGTGCACCAGGGGCCGGTCTCTGCGRTTTCCTAACAGATGTCCCCCAACCMGAGTCAAGCCCCTCTCCCTGCAGGACCCTGCTGCATCCTCATGGCCACCTGAGAGGGGGWCCTGAGCGCACAGAGACCCTGGACYACCCCTCAGCCACYCAGACAGAGAGGGCTGGAGCCCTGCGGGGTGCCCTCCCAGGGACCAAGGGGGCAACACGTGACATTCCTCTTTCTTGCAGGCCAACACGAGGAGAAGCAGCAGGAAGGGGGCATCGTCTCCAAGAACTTCACCAAGAAGATTCAGTGAGTGACCCGGGGCCSGTCAGGGGTGGGGGGCTCCCGATGGGGAGGGCTGGGGCGCCGGGACCCAGGTCTGGGCTCTCTGTCCCTCACCAGCTCTTGCAAGGCCTCCCCTCCTTGGAGCAAGGAATGGAAGGGTCACAGCTAGAGAGGAGGAAACTGTGGCAGAGCTGCAGGAGGGACCCAGAGGGGGYGGGGTGACCTCTCTCTGGTCAGCAGGGCCTGCTCTGGGCTTGTCCCCAGCCCTGGYCAGCTGCATTTAGGAGAAAAGACACCATCGTCCTTGTATGGGGGGAAACGGAGTCCCCACAAGCGAAAGGGTCTGGCCCAGGTCCACCCTGAGAATTCAGCATGACCCTAAACAGATTCCTGACCTCCGGCTTCCGTGAGCAAGGAAACCTGCYCTGTCAACGGTGATCCCAGGCTTGGAGAGTGACCAGCTGGGGCTGCTGGCCCCCAGGGGGTCCTCGTAGTGGCCTTGGTCATTACAGTTCTTGTCAGTGTCTCTCCTGAGACTCAAGACGAGAGAGCTCCGGGGGCATCCCAAGCAGGGCCAAGCTGTGGAGGGGAAGTTATCCTCTTTAAAGACAGCCAYTCCCCGGCTCTGAAGCCTGGGGTAMAGCTTGCTGGGAATTCCCTGACCAGATTCCAATRGCTGAAGTGCCTGGAGACCGGGCTGCTCTTCAGCGGGTGGTGGGCAGAGTGTTAAGATTGTTCAAATGTAAGTTGGGGCCGGTGGCCCACGCCTGTCACTCCAGCAGCTCAGGAGGCYGAGGCAGGAGGATCTCGAGTTCAAAGCCAGCCTCAGCAACAGYGAGGCCCTAAGCAACTCAGGGAGACCCTGTCTCTAAATAAAATACCAAATAGGGCTGGGGCTGGGGCTCAGGGGTCGAGTGCCCCTCAGTTCAATCCTGGTATCCAAAGGAAAAAAAAATGTTAAGATATTGCCTAGCCTGCGGATACCACCTCTAGCCAGGGTTGGGGACCGTGCTGGGTCCGTGGGAACGAACACTGAGCCAAGACTCCACAGGGCTGGGATACAGGAGAGCCGCTGGGGCTCCTGGGACCGCCTGGGTCTGCTCAGATGGACTTCAAGGAGTGGGGCCGGAGATGGGGACAGCCTCGGGCCAATCTCAGGAGACCTCATGGCTTCTTCCAGGGAAAACCGCAGTCCTTAGAGGTCAGGGGAGTCTCTTCTTCAGCCAGGCTGGATCCTTGGGGGGTTTCCACCCAGGCAGGAAATGCATCCCGAAGGYGGCATCTGGATGGCAGAGGGGACAGAGGGATGGGCCTATCCGGAGGGGGGCAGGGCGGGACAGCAGTGGGCTCTTTTCTTCCCCCAACTTGGGTGACAGAGCAAACAGGCATCRGTGGGCGCAGAGCCTCGTCCGCAGGATGATCGGAGTCATAGCTTTCCCACCATCGGGGCTCAGCCCCRGGTCACCTGGGAGAGACCCTGGAGACCTTGGGCACATCCAAGCCCCTCTCCAGGCCTGGGATTCCCCGTGCGTAATGACACAGCACAGTCCCGGGTGACCAAGACGATCCCCTGAGGGTCAATGTTCCAGGGCTGGATGACACTGCAGTTGGTGTCGATGCTGATGTGCTTTCTGACAATGTCAGCGATTGCCACGCCTCCCTCCCCAGGACATGGGCTTAGAGAGGCCAGAGCACCAGCCCCAACTCCGATGGCCAGGAAGAGTCCGAGTTCCAATGCCCCGTCCACCTGCAAAGCCCTGGCTCTGCCACCTGGTGCCARGCGCCTGTCCATCCCCGCAGCCAGAGGGAGCCCCAGGGGTTTGGCCTCCTTTGCTTCAAGAGCTTGGCTCRGCAACTGCCCCTGGTTCTTCCTCTTCGCCCACCACCATCCTGGGTGGATGGGCTCTTGGGTCACAGGTTTCTGTTCAGGGTCACAGCTCCCTGGCCCTTATGTGACTGGTCCTTCCCACGATCACAAACAGGCTCAGCTCATACCTTGGTTCTTGAGGATCATCAAGACCCCTGCAGTTAGAACAGGCAGAGTCTCTGGGGACTGACTTTCCAAGTCTGGTGCCCAGGGAGGTGGTAGAGGATTGGGGTTGGCTACTCTGAGTTTGGAGCCCAGGGTTCCAATTCACATTCCCATCTGCCGTGTCCCAGCTGTGTGACCTTGGGGGAGTCCGTTCACCTCTCTGAATCTCAATTTCCTCCACTAAAAATCAGAGATAGTAATAGAACCCTCCTGGTTGGATTATTGCTAACAACTAAGTGAGATGATTTCAGATACCTGGCACATCAAAAGGGTGCTCAGAAGGTCATGGCTTTCGTTATTTTTATTAATCATGCCATCTCCATGAAGCCACTGACGTGACCTTGAAATTTCAAGTTTGTTGAGGAAACCGTGTCCCAGAGAGCCTTGTTCATTCCCAAACAACCCCAAATTTATTTATTCATTTAAAAAAAATCTTATTAGCATTGGAACCAGGTCTGGGCTCATAAATCCCATCTTTGATGCTCTCTCACTCCCCTTGAGAGAGCTGGTATATGGCTTGCCACTTGGCTTCCCCAAGCCTCCCCTTAGTGGTCTGTGAAATGGGCACGTGATACCCGTCTCTCACGAAGCTCCAACCGGGTGACGCCGACAGCTGAGTTTGGGGAACCAAACAATGATGACCTGCTGAGACCTGTTGAACCCCATCCTGAGTATGTGGCCATCAGAAATTCATCCACGTGGCCAGCCTGACCCCTTGACCTACCTACKCGACGGTCCCACCCATGATCCCACCACTAATGCATTTTGCCGTCAAGTACTCCCCACCAGGCACATGGCAAACGGAGACACGTCAGCTCCTGTAACCTCCATGAGGAGCACTAGCCGTGGTCATTTTTACCRGCAACTGGTCCACGGTGACCTCAAGCTAGGACTGAATGTGGGGTCTGGGCTCCCTTTTGAGTTAAGAGCTACTGCTGGGGTGTCACCGGCCGACTCTGAGCCGCTCTGCCCACCTTGTATTAAACTCATTCCTCCTCGGCTCTTTGTAGAAGAGGATTCAAACTCACCTACCAAGGGCAATGGGGGGCCTTCAAGGTCAAGCAGGGAGACTAGATCTGCCCGGCCTAAGGTCACCTTCTTTAGATGAATACCAATGTTGAAGTCACAGGAAAAATGACAAGTGGCTCCACTCTGTGCTTCTCCTAGGCTTCCTGCAGAGGTGGATCCTGTGACCGTGTTCGCCTCGCTGTCCCCAGAGGGTCTGCTGATCATCGAGGCTCCCCAGGTGCCCCCTTACTCGCCATTTGGAGAGAGCAACTTCAGCAATGAGCTCCCTCAGGACAGCCCCGAAGTCACCTGCACCTGAGACCCCAGTCTCGGCCCATCCTTTATTTCCCTCCCCAGCCCCAGGGCTTCTCTGATTCCAGGGTACCTRACTTTAGCTGAGCTCAGATTTAGTGCGACTCCAAGGTTGAGGGAGGATGGGGATGGGGATGGGGAGAAGGACCACAGAGTCCCTGGATGGTGTAGTACTAGGTTCCTCCACAGGGCGGCGCAATGGGCAGACCCATGCTTGGTTGCGTGAGGCCAAAGAGTCCTGGGAGGTTTTTTTCTTTTGTGACTTTTTTTTTTTTTAAATCTATCTCCATGTAAACACTGTACATTCTCTAATTGCAAAATGAATAAATGGGGACTTGACATTTCACCTTGCATCTGACCTTGCAGCTAGTGCGAGGGTTGCCTTTCTCCGGGGACCTCCCCATTACCCAGACTGTGCCTGCCTTGGGGTTTGGCGGGTGGAGCCCGCGGGCTGGCGCCAGTGTGTTTCCACACCCCCCTGGTCTGCAAAGGGGGATGCTCAGGTTTAGATCCCCGCCACCCGGGAAAACGAACAGTGCCTTCTGCCCTCGGCCCAGACCTTTACAGCATGCTCCCAAGGTCCCCAGACGGACACTCCAAGGACTCTGGGACTCCCTCAGTGAATTCTCTGGCTAAGGTACACCCTTCTTGTGTCTCCTATGACCAAGTTGGGATTTTTACAGAGGGGACTGTCTCCAGACCGCTCTGCCAAGAACAGGCAAAAAGCCAGGCAGTTGTGGGGTCCTATCTGTAGGGCGATGTGTGTGTGTCCTTGTTTGACTTGTGCTGCTGTTTAGGGGGAAATAACAGTGAAAAAGTGAATAACAACAATAATAAAGGAGCTGATGTTCTTAGCCTTGTGTGTTTCTTTTGGTGAGAAGCGAAATGCAGGATCACTGAGATAGACGCTATTAGTTAGGAGTGCTGTGGCGTCAGGTAACCATGCCCGGCTAATAGTGCCTTAAAGGACATAAACAGCAATTTAACTTCACAAGAAGTTTAGGGGTCAGTGGTCTCAGCGTTGTTTCTTCAGCTGTTGTGCCACCAAGAACCTGGAGTGCTTCCTGTATTTTTTTCCCTCTACCATCTCTGACAAGTTACAGTCTATCCTCAGGGTTGCAAGGTGGCTGCAAAAGCTCCAAGCATCTCATCCTCCTATGATAATGTCTGGGAAGAGAAAGCAGAGGTAAAAAGTTCTTCTCTTCTGACTTTTTTGATTTATCAGTGAGCAAAATATGTCTCAGAAGCTTCCAGTAGATATCTTCTTTWATCTCATTGGCCCAAACTGGGTTACCTGTCTATCCTGACACCCATCCCTGTACAAAGGAAATGGGTGGCCATGATGGGCTTAGATTATATTGATTTATCCTCTGAAGCCAGAACATGAACCAAATGCGGTTCTGTTGGGAAGCAGCACAGCAGCTGTGAGGGCAATCAGTGGTACAATGGCTGCCACAGATTCAGATGCTGCCAGGAGCACAGAACCCTGAACGGAGAGGGTGGTAGGGAGCCGGGCTGCTGAAGTGGAGTGTAGTGCGGGCTGCATCCTGTTCTTCCTGTTGTCCCCTCTCCCCTGCTCCCAGCCCCCCATGCCCCCCCGCCCCGCATGTCCTTTCATTGTGACCACAAAASGGCTGCCATCCCTGCAGCCTCGCATCCTCCCACATCCCAGTCCTGACAGAGCAGAGCCCGGCTTTCCCCAGACCCTCTAGCATCTTCCTAAGACTCATTCTTATTGGACCAGCTCGGATCACATGATCCAACTAGTTCAAGAAACCAGCGTTTTGATTGGCCAGGTCTGGGTCACATGCTCCACCACTGGAGCCAATCCCATTGCATCCCCAGGGAGATGCTCATTTTGCAATGAGGGAGCGGAGGCCCAGGAAGAGTTGGGTGGGGTGAGTCACGTGGTGACTTGGACCCACGTGTTTGCTTGGGGAAGAGTCCAGGAGGAGTGTRGGGCCGCTTCTCCAGGGTCCCCAGACCTTCTAAGGTCCCCAAGATGGTCGGATCAGAGYGTCTGTCCTGCGCAGTAGGCAGTCCCTGGCCACCAGGCGCCCAGTCTAGTGACAGGCAGGAGAGAAGGGCCCTCAGGGGACTCTGAGCATGCGCTGGACGCCCTCTAGAGGGCCTTGTGCCCGTCAGTGCCTCTAGTCACCCTGCCAGCCTAGGTGGACGGTCCGGCTCTATGACCCCTTTGCAGAGAAGGAAATTGGGGCATGAAAGTGGCCAGTGCCCCGCCCCCAGTCACACACCCGGTGGACAGCAGGCCCAGGCAGCCCCGCTGCGGGCCTTTGGCTGCCCCTCTGCCTGCCTTTCTCCCAACAAGGCAACATGGAAAGTGCCTTGACTGAGTCCRCCATATAGCAAGTCGGGGCTTGGCAGAGGGTGGGACTCAGGGATGGCTTGCTCCAGGAGGAGGTACAGCAGGCCTGAGAGTCGGACTCGGAAGGCGGGARAGAACACATGAGCCAAGGAGAACGGCATGCTCCTTTGAAAATGCTCCTTGTTGTTCACAAGACAGAGTCCAGACTTCTTTGCGAGACCCACGAGGCTGCTGGATCTGTCCCTGGACTGTCTCAGTAACTGCAGCCCGGAATCCCACCCGCCCCTCGCACTCGCCTGGCTTCTCTCTTCCTYTGACCTCCCAGGCCCTTTCTCGCCAGCAGAACGTTGCCCACCCGGCTTCTGTCCCTTCCAAGGGTCACTGGTGCTCCCTCTTTATTGGCTCCTTCTCCAAGGTCTCATGTGGGCCTCCCTCTCGCTCACCCAACACAGAGAGATTATTGTAACCATCTGGGTGTTTAGTAGCAAAGCAAATATTAATAACAAAACCCCCAATGGATCCAGTCTATTCTGCTCTCAAGGAAGGGGGAGGAGGAATTATTCCAGTTTAGGGGGACTCCCCTCCACTCCSGATTTGCTCAACACATACTTCCTGGACCACCTGCTCTAGGTAAGACACGGACTAGGCACCGGGTCCCACTTCTTCCCCCTTGGGGAGGCAGGARAGAGGATGGGGAAAGCAAGATTGTTATTTCCAAGTTCACCCCTCCTGGACCCCGAGGGGTTCGACCCCAAGTGGGCAGAGTGGAGACCCATCCACGGAGGACCAGGCCACCTGCCCAAGGACACAAGCAAGATGGCTAAGGCCGGGGGCCACCGATAAGGACCGCAGCAGCTAGACTGTAGCAAGGGGGGGGGGGTGAGGAACTGCAGGAGGGTGGACCTCGATGCTAAAGTCACCCTGCGCACTATTCCATTTTAAATTCTTTGCATTATGAGACTCACGTGGCATCTTTAGGGTGCCATCTGCACCTGGGGGTGCTTTGTGGGCGTGGTCTTGTGGGCAGCAGGTGGACAGAGTTTGAGGTCACCTAGAGCAAAGTACAGAGAGGCTCCTTCATGGCAGGATGGGGAAGGGAGAAGGGACCCTGAGAATGGAGCTTCGGAGACCGCGCCGATGTTTGGAGGAAGACACTCCATAGAAGGTTTGCTACATTTTTATTTCAATATCTCAAGAGGGCCTGGCTTTCCCAGAGAGCCAGCTACTCCCCAGATTTGACTCCAGGTCTCAGGAAAGCAGAGGCCACATGTGGGTACTTCTCCACCGAGTTCCTAACTCCTGACACCTTGTCGCCTGGAAGCATTCCATACTCGCCAGATGCACAAATGAATGAGTCAGACAAACAAAATCCAAACTCCTTTCTCCCACCTTGGAAGTCCTGCATGATCTGTCACTTCCWGTCACCTCTCCAACTTCAGCCCCCACAGCTCCCTATCTTATTCCCTGCACACAGGTCTCCTTCCTGTCCCTCAAACTCTGTGCTCCTTCTCACCCCAGGACCTTTGTACATTCCATCTCTTCGACTGCAAATACTGCCCTGCCCTACAGTATAGTACTGTGAGAGGCTTCACGGTAGCCTGCAGCGCACACTGCTCAAGAACAGGAATTTTCTTTTCCCATCTCGTCCAGTGCTGTGTTTTACGCCAAGTGCAGAGTTGGCACATTGGAGACCATATATATTTATGGAATGAAGGGCTGAAGGGTGAGTTTAGGTCACCTCGGAAAATCAGGCTCCCGGCAAAAATCTCAAACTCCTAAAATTGCTTCATTTCGGTGCTGGGAACTTGGAGGCCAAGGACAAAAGATCTGACATCAAGATAGATGACAAGCCCCTTCCCCAGAGACCCTCCCGACCAAGTGGCGGAGGAATATTGTTCCAAAACCCTCATTTCCACGAAGCTGGGACTGGAGTGCCCAGAACTGACTTCCACTRGAGAGTCGGGTGGGGGAGTTTTAGCCCCACAGCACCCCACCCCTGCCCCAGCTCCCTGCAGCCAGCCAGCTGCCAAGGGTGATGTATGGAGATGACTTGATTTGACCTTGAAGGGAAGAAACAAATTAATGTGTCTAGAAATAAATTCCAGGAATCAGTGACTGGCTGCTCTCCACCCTCCCTCCCGCACCTCATGAGTTGTGCATTATAATGTGAAAATCAATAGCGACTCCTAAATGAGCCCACACCTGGAGCGGGCCAAGGGGTGGGGCTGCCCGGAGTCCCCCCCACCACATCCGGGGCCCTGCAGTTGGCAGGAGGTGTGGGACCCTGCAGGTCGGCCAAGGCCTGCAGTAAGGTCAGCCCCACCGGTCCCCAGCTCCAGAGCTGCACGGGTGTGAGCAGATGTGGGTTCCTGGTGGCTCCAGAGGGAGCGGGGAAGGGCCACCATGTGGAACCGCATTGCCTTATTCTTCTCCCAAAATGACTTCAGTGTGCAGGGGCTGGAGAGACTCCAAACCCGGCCCTTAATTTAGGAATTCGATGTAGGTCCTCTGGGTACTTGTGCCTAACGCCAGATCCAATGCTGGGCACTCAGCGACACAGATGCCAGGTGTCCAAACATATCAGTGTCTGGTGTCTTAATGCACCACTTGGTAAATTCCACCGCCCCGTCTCTGAGGTCCCCTGCGGTGCCCTAACCTATAGGAAGCATATCTCCTATTCTGGGGCCTTCTCCATCTGTGGCCTCCAGAGAGACTGCCCGGCCCAGAGCCAGCCAGTTCCTGCGGGTGTAGGGGACTCGGGGAGAGTGGGTTTCACAGGCCCAGCCAGCCCTGCGCACCCACGGTCACCTCCTTCACTGTGCCCTTGCACTCTGGGCCACTCTCCACCTGTCCTAGTGTCCCCAGGGCCAGAGACCGGACAGCTAGGGACAGCCCTGGGCCCCTAGCCTGCTGCGGTTATTCAGCCAGTCACTCGGGACACAGGCTCTGGTCCATGTCCCCCCTCTCCACCTCCCTCTGCCTCCTGAGGACCCCAGTGCTTCCCTGCGTGTCCCCTTGTCTTGGAATCTGTGAGTTCAACCAACGTCTTAACAATGGCATCTGTCTCCTGTTGGCCTCCCCGTATCTAAATAATAATAAAACACACTTCACGCACTTTCCAACCCAGCCGCAGCTTTGYCACCAAACCCCTCTTAAGAATCAGCAGGAGAACTTAGGAGCGGTGGCCAGTATTTTTTTTTTGCTTTTTATTTGTTGTTGTTTTCCACATTTTTTTTATTGGTGCTTTATGGTCACCCGTAATGACGGGATGCTGTTTTAGCTCTTGGTCCGTGCACACAACATGGCAAGATAATGTGGCCCATGTCACTCCCTAGCACTGTCCCCACACCTCTGGTCCCTGTCCTTTGCGGATCTCTCTTTGATTTCCAGGAGGTCCACCCCCTACACACCTTCCTTTTGCTTTGTCCCCTCTAGTTTTGAGTGGTCATTTTGAATGATCAGCGTCCTACCAGTTGTAGGATGTCCCTGTCTCCCTCCCTCTCTCTCTCTCTCTCTCTCTCTCTCTCT